GAGACAGATGACGAAAATACTTATTAACTGTATTAAAGAACTATGTATGAAACAAGTTAAGAGGAATCAGATAATATACATATAAGGAAAATTCAGATCATATAATAAGAAAGATACCTTGATAGGTAAACTGTATTGGAATTCTGTAAACAGTTTATTATTTAAATGGGTTATATGATAGGAGGTCATGTTGCAGCATACAAGTCCTATCTTGGATCTACAGAGAATGGTTTAGCGCAGTATTTTTTAAACTAAAGGTCACGATCCTTTTAGTGAGTCATGCAGTCAGCTTCGTTAATCCAACCAACACTTAGGGACACCTAGGTGGCTCAGTTGGTTAAGTGTCTGCCTTCAGCTTAGGTCATGATTCCAGGATCCTGAGATTGAGCCCTTGCTCAGCAGGAAGCCTGCTTCTCCCTCTCTCCCCTGCTCGTGCTCTATCTCTCGCTATCTCAAATAAATAAATAAAATCTTTAAAAAAAAAATTTAACCAACACTTAAAATGAGGAAGAAACAGAAATGGAGTAGAATAGAACAATGGAAATGATCAGTGAATGTCTCACATGGTAAAACTGTACAAGAAGCTTTTGTTCCTATTTCATATATGTGCATATGTTATGTGTACATGTACTGGTCCACGATGTAAACTGTACTTCTTACTGTGGATCATGCTAAAAAACTTGAAAGCCACTGGCCTAGCTGATTTAGTCATACAATTGTCTAAGTGCTTATTATTCCTTATAAATTTCAGGGATCTTCTGAAAAATTACTACACACATAAACCAGGAACAGTGTGAAATAAGGAATGATTTTTCCAAATAACTAATTTGCTCAAATAGACAGATCTCTGGGCCATGTCTCAAAAGCATTCTGAATATAGTTTCATGTCAGTGCCCCCCCAAATTAAAAATTTTGCTAAGTATAATTAAAAGACTGTAAACTGAATGTAAAATGTTTTGGTCACTATGGAAAAGAGCTTGGCAAATTTCTCAAAAAGTTAACACAGAATTGTCATATGACCCTGAAATTCCATTCCTAGGTATATACCTCAAAGAACTGAAAACAAGGACTCAAACAAGTACATGTACATGCATGTTCACAGCAGCTCTATTCACAACAGCCAAAGGTGGAAATAGCCCCAATGTCCTTCAGTGGATGAATGGATAAACCAGTTGTGGCATATACATACAATAGGATATTATTCAGTTATAAAAAGAAATGAAGTAATGACACATGCTACAATGTGGATGAACCTCCAAGACATTATGCGAAGTGAAAGAAGCCAGACACAAAAGGTCACATACTGTATGATCCCTTTTATATGAAATATCCAGAAGAGGTGAATCCATGGAGCTAGCACACAGACTGGTGATTGCCAGGGGCCAGGGGAATGGGAGCATGAAGATAAATGCTTAATGGGTAAGGGACTTTACTTGGGATTGATGGAAATATTTTGGAACGAGACAGAGGTGCTAGTTGCATAAAATCATGAATGTAATTAATGCCACTGAACTGTTCACTTGAAAACAGTTACTTTTATGTTATGTGAAATTCACTTCACTAAATTATTAAAAAATAAGACTATAGGGAGATGTAAATACTAGTAACACAAATATACAGAATCTGGAGGGCAATTCTTTCTCAAGATATTAGAAACTGAATAAAAAATGGATACCTTTATTTTTTCCTCAAAAATATTTTTATTAAAAAGAGGGTCACATAGAAATAGTACTAACTGAACTAGAGGCTAAACAGAAAAATAAACAGTAGACAATTATACATCTCTGAGAGAAAACTGACAGGTACATCTTTTAAAAATCAAAATTCAGCAAGAGAGGAAACATTCTTCTTAAATACAAAGGAGAAAATAAGGAAGTCAGAACTTTTAGATAGAACTTTGGACTTTAAGGAAGGGGAAAGTCAACCAGTCTTCTGGTTTTCAGTTTAACTTACGAATCTTCTCTTTAAAGAAAGCAAACAAACAAACAAAACCCAAAATACCCCCCAAAAAATAAAAACAAAAAAACAACAAAACAACAGGTGCATAAGGAGATGACAGGAGGCAAATACTTTGCTCTTTGTTTGGAGGAAATTATTTTTATAATTACAATATGAATCTGCCTCTGGAGAGAGTCCACTACGAGAATCCTGGTACAGGCTGTATACCCTTTCAGGGGGTATGCTGTGGAGGAGGATAGCTATTGAGACTAGATCAAGGTTTTTCAAACTTTGATCAACAGAACCCTAAAAATCCATGAGGCTGCTACAGTGAGAGGGTGAGCGGAGAAATGCGAGGCGGAGCTATTGATGCCCCAGGCCTCTGTACTTGCTTCATTAAGATGAAGTTTGTTTTTACCTTTTAAATATTGGGATTCCATGTTAGGACTTCACTTGGAAAAAAATTCTACTGCTAAAGGAAAGTTTGAAAAACATCAAAGGGTCCTAAACCTGGCTGCTCAACAGAATTACTAAAAGAGCTTTTTCAAATTACAAAGTCCTGGGCCATACCTCCTAGACCTAGTGAAATAACTCCCCAAGGGATTCCTGTGCAGCATCCCAAAGCTAGCCCACAGTGCTTGAGGGGCATTGACCCAGAGGACCCTTGCTTCCCTGAGAGCCTATGACAAAACAGAACTTAAATGGATAGGCAGGAACCTTAAACAAAAGAGTTGATGGTAGCAGACAGAAAAAGAGAACTCAGACTAACTCACTAGACTCTAATGAAGAATAAAAAATTGGTAAACAAATAGCTTGTCTAGGACCAGAAGTTCCTGTGGAGGTTTAATTGCTTGGCAATGATCTCACAGCCTACTGCAACTGTCCATATTGGTGATGGCAGGCAAAGTAGTTTAATTCAGCAACTGTCCAACAAAGTATAATGTCAGCCACAGATGTAATTTAAAATCTTCTAGTATCCATGTTTAAAAAAACTAAAAGAAATGAAATTTTAATAATATATTTTAATTCAGTATGTCCAAAATAATATCAACATGCAGTTCAGTATAAAAATTGTTAATAATGTATTTTACCTTTTCTTTTTGTACTGTCGTTTTTTTTTTCAGCTAAGACAGAAGAGATGATTTATTGTACATGTGTTATATTCACATAAATGAAAACAGGATTAGTCTTGAAAGTCACAGGTCCAGGGCAAAAGACCAAAAGGGAATGTTTTGGTATGAGCAAGGTGGGTCTCTCAAAGGGGTCCTTGAGATCAGATGGTGATGGATGTTCTAGAAAGTAGATATGCAGTTCAATAATTGGTGCCAGCATCCCTGGCCTCTGCCTTTCCTTATTTCTGTTCCTGTGACTTCAATGGGTGCACAAGGTAGTGTCTACTTGGACCTCCTCCTCATCTTTCTTCTCTTATGCTTCCACCTACACACTTGCTTCTTCCTCCACTTGGCTCTAATGGTGGTGCAGAGGTTTCCAAGAAGATGGCACTAAGGCTGAGAGAGCCTGTACTAAGTCTTCAAAATGATACAGCACATCTCAATTCAGACTAATCAGGTTTCAAGTGCTCAAGAACCACATCTCGCTAGTGGCCACATATTGTATAATGTGGAACTAATTAATAAGTTTCCATTAGTCATCTAGGATCAAAACTTCATAGCCAAATGTTTCCTTTTCCTTTCTATAAAAGCATCAAGTTCTATTTATTCTTCCTTCAAAATCTCTCTCATTAGCACTTTCCTGCTTCTAGTTCTACCTGCTGATCTGTCTAGTTAGTACACTGTCACCAGATACATACACAGTACTTAACAGCCCATGTATAATGTCATTTCTCTTCAGTGGCTCCAGAATGCCTTCCACTTTAGCTGCGAATTCAGGAATTCACACTATCTTGTCCCCACCCCCATACCCGACCTATATCATTCCAACTTTATCATTTATAAATTTCCTAGGAAAGTCTTTATTTTAGGCAAACTATCCTGTTCATGGTCCTCTGCATATGCCTTATACTTCTTTATCTCTGTGTCTTATGACTTTCTACCCACCAAGAATGCCCTTACTCTAGCCTTAACTATCCAAGTCATTACTTCACAAATATTTATGTGTCAGGCACTGTACTATATGCTGAAGACAGAATAAATAATCCTGATCCCAATTTCTCCACCTAAAGAAATTTTCCTTTATATATCAATTATATGTCAAGAAAGTGGAAACTGAAAAAAGAAAAAAAAAGAAATCTTCTTATGTCAAAACAGAAGTGGTTCTGCACTGTTGAGTTGTTCTTTTTTTTTTTTTTTTTTAAGATTTTACTTATTTGACAGAGAGAGACACAGCGAGAGAGGGAACACAAGCAGGGGGAGTGGGAGAGGGAGAAGCAGGCTTCCCGCGGAGCAGGGAGTCTGATGCGGAGCTCGATCCCAGGACCCCGGGATCATGACCTGAGCCGAAGGCAGACGCTTAACGACTGAGCCACCCAGGCGCCCCTGTTAAGTTGTTCTTATAAGATATACAGTGTACATGCCTTATAAGAACACATTGCGCCCTTACAATTTGCTGCCATGCATTGCTAATTTTCAACTTTTCCTATAAATATCTATCTTTCCAAATAGAGGACAGATTTCCTGAAAGCATAGACTAGGGTCATACCAGTGTATTTTCCTTGGTCTCAGTAAGCAGCAGGTACTGAATACACATTTGCTGATGGACAAGTACTTGTAAAAGGTGGAAGGGCCTGCAGGGCAGGAGGAGGACTCTATCTAGAAAAGAGCCTCCCTTCCCAAAATATGCTGACAAACCAGGACCAGAGGTGAGCAGGGAGGGTCTGCAAGAACCCCAAAGCTGAGGAAAGCACTTGGGAAGAGTCATTTTATCAATTTCATTTGCAAAGAAATTCAGAATTGGCAACATTTAAGTTAGGATCAGTTACCCTGTCTTTTGGACCTCAACAACACTGATTAACTTTAAAAATCCCTTCTTGGCTCTAAATGAAAATAATACCACTGTTAATGTTTCAGATACATACATAACATTAGACGTCGAACATAACTCACCACATGTTGTGTTCAAAAACTTTGGCTGGGTCCGTTAAAATCCTTGATCCCAGAGGGACAACTGGGTGATTACCACTTTGGAATCTACGTAGCACCTTTCTTATCCTTAGACAGGAAACAGAATTCCTCCAAATCACATACATCTTAATCAGTACCTGGAGAGTTACAAATGATTAATTAGTCAATATGGATTATACAGTGTATTATTTATCAAATAGCCAAAAACTGGTCCAAAAGGTTTACAACCTGAGAAAAGACAGGAAAACTAAACATTTTTATTTTTATTTTTTTTTATATTTATTTATTTATTTGACACAGAGAGACACAGCAAGAGAGGGAACACAAGCAGGGGGAGTGGGAGAGGGAGAAGCAGGGAGCCTGACGCGGGGCTCGATCCCAGGACCCTGAGATCATGACCTGAGCCGAAGGCAGACGCTTAAAGACTGAGTCACCCAGGCACCCCGAAAACTAAACATTTTTAAATGAAAGTTGGGCATGATAGCTTCTGTCCTGAAGTATTTTCAGGCCAAGAGAAGGAAAAAGAATATTTAGAGTGTGTACCATTGGCTGACATTCCTCATAAGTCACAGCTTTGGCCAACTTTGCTTTGTTTGGTATTTGTTCATTTAATTTTTATCACATAGTCAAAGCATGTCAGCCTAGAATCTGAATTTTGCGTATTAAAAGTTTTTTTAAGTGATTTTATTATTTTGTTTTGGGAATTCTAAGTGAACATATTTCTTGGGAATATTTTATGACCACTAGACCAAAAACCCAAGTATAGTAGCAGCAGAATAAGAAAACAAATCTATTAAATCTCCTTCTCTGGGCTGAGCTGAATAGAATGAAATTTAGTCAAATAATAAGTAAATACTGAAGATATGATCCCAGCAATTCTTAATTCTAACAACCCTGTATACATGTATTTGTAAGAATAGTTAGTAATACATTTGTAAAAATAGATTTCCCTGTACAAAAAATATACAATCCTAGCTCAAGAGGAGAATCATCAGTTGGTTAGTCAAGTTCATCCCCATTTCTGGAAGAACTTAAACATTTAAAGAGTATGTCACCTTAATTATGTACAAATATGTTGGCTTACCATCTTTATGGAAAAGTATCAATAAGAAGCTCTGAAGAGCTTACTTTTTCTAATAAAAATCCGTTGTAAGACTGCTTAGCATTTCATCTCCATTCAGTTGTTCATCACAACATTCAGCCTAATGCTGCAAGCTGCCTGGTAGAAACAGATGCTAAAAGGTGTGTATATATTATACACACTGGAGACTATCTAAGGTACTATTTTGTGTAAAAATGACATGTACTGTACATCCTTTACCAACTTACTGAAAGGCAATGGATTTTAAGATGGTGATTTCTAAAACGAACTGCAGAATGTCAAAAACATCTCACTGTGTTTTTAAACATAAAATTCAAGATTTTCCTTTTGGAGGAAAAAAAAAAAGGCTTAATTATACACCAAAAAGACCGTAATGGTTCCATTCAAATGTGACTAATAGTGATGAGAAACGAAACACTCAATACCTAGTGCAGATCTCCTGTTTCTTGTTTGTTGTTCCTTCTCTGCTAAATGCAAGCTCTTTGGTGGAGGCAGATGAGATTAAATGCTCTGCCTACCACTCCCTTTCCTCTGATGTGCCTTTGTTCTTATCTCCTGCCTGTGTTCCATATAAGACTCTTAACAAAACCCTACCTGCACAATTATTTTTAGAGCTCTTTCTGCACTGAATATTATTCATAATATCTGTATGCTGAAGAGTAGAAACTGATTATACTAGAAAGAGAGACAATTCATGCTCAAAAGTGTAAAATGAAGTAAATATTTTCCACCCAGGAAAGCCAAATCAAAATGAAATTTTAAACTCCAAATAGTCATGTGATACTTATCTATATCTATCCATATAGAGAAGAGGAAGACAGGGAAAAAGAAGATACAAGTTTCTCTCACTATAAATGATCAAAAATCTCCATAGGCAGCTGTTTAGGCAGCTGTTTTTCTAACAAAAACATCTTACCTCATTTATTTATTATCTGTAACAGTCACACACAGCCTTGCACTCCTCCTTGTCTTTTTTAGTATATAAATATGATACATTTATATAATAAATACAGTATAGAAAAATACAGCATAAAATTATATAAATGTCTTCTCAACTAAATTGCAAGCTTCTGAGGGCAGCACCAAGCTGCTTGTGAATTAATTGATTGATAATACAAAAATGATACTTATCTGACATAAATTTAATTAGAAGGAAACTACTTCATATTTTTCAGGGTGGCTCATAAGATCCTTACAGTGTAGAAGAAGGAAGTGACAGAAGAGTGTGACAGTATATAGGCAGCAACCCAGTTACATCTATTACAGTGATTTAAAAGTGTGTGATGAAAAATGAAACACTCAATAGCTAGTGCAGATCTCTTGTTTCTTGTTTGTTGTTCCTTCTCTGCTAAATGGTGGAGGCAAATGAGATGTTATGACTATCATGTTAGCTTAATGTCTACTAGGTCATGGTTCCATTTTGTGATGGGAAAAGAAAAGATGAGCAGGGTCAACCCCAAACAGAATTCTGGTACAGAAAGTTGATTTCTGCCACCAGATTCTTCCACTCTCTTTATGTACCCTCTCTTAACTCTTTTGGCATACCCTAACTTGAATATAAGTTTAATTAAGATATTATTTGCATAGTGAAACTGTATGAAGAAGTAGTATTTTTATTTGAAATAAAACAAGTATAGCTAAAAATATTCCAATCACCCAAAAGAAGGCAGGAAAGGAAGCACAGAGGAACTAAAACCAAAAAGGACAGTAAGAAAACAAATATTAGGATGGCATATTTAAACCCAAGTATATCAATAATTACATTAAATGTAAATGGAGTCCAATTAAAAGACAAAGATGGTCAATTTGTATGAAAAAGCAAGACCCAACCATATACTGTTTATAAGAGAAGCACTTTAAATATAAAGATACAACTATACTGAAATAAAAAGAGATATTATACAAATGCCACATGAGAAAACTGGTGGAGCTATATTAATAATGTTAAAAACAAACCACAGGTCTAAAATGGCATCATTTAGGTTAAGGCCCCAAGTCAGTAAAACAAAACTTAATACCTAACATAACTGCAGTTTTAACCCCCCCAGAAATGTAGCCTTTAACCAGTCAACATGAGAATTTCCTGGTCAGCACTAGGGACTTTATTGAGAGGCCCCTTCAGTTCCCCTTAGGAGGGCAACCTTGCCTAAAACAATGGATTCTTTGCTAATAATTTCCTTTTTTCCATTCTTTCTTTACCTTTAAAAACCTTTTTCTTTCTATAGTCCTTTGGAGCTCCTCTCTACTTTTTAGATGGGATGCTGCCCAATTTGTGAATTGGTTAATAAAGCCAAGTAGATCTTTAAAATTTACTCAGTTGAATTTTTGTTATTTAGTAACAAAGTAGACTTAAAAAAACAAAAAGACTGTTATAGAGATAAAAGGGGATGTTTAGTCATGACATACAATCCTAAATATGCATGTACATAATAACAGAGCTTCAAACTATATGAAGCAAAAATGCACAGAACTTTTTAAAAGGAGAAATTAACAAATTCACAGTAATTCTTGGAAATTTTAATACCCCCTCTCAGTAATAAATAGAACATTAAGAAAACTATCAAAAAATCAATAAGGATATGGAAGAATTAAACATTATCAACTTGACCTAAACATTATCAACAGCCGAAGACACATTTTTTTCAAGTGAACATGAAGCATTTGCCAAGGCACACAGTACATACAGGGCTGTAAGACAAGGCTTAGTAAATTCCACAGTATTTAAATCATACAGAGTATGCTTTCTGGCTATAACAAGATTTAATGTTAATATTTTTGATGAATTCACTCATTAAAAATATTTCTCCTTATCTCTGGTAATAGCTATTTTCTTGAAGTCTACTTTGTCTAATATTAATATAACCCTACCAGCTGTCTTATGCAGTGTTTTATATGTTATATATATATTTTATTATTTTTTTATTTTTTTTAAAAGATTTTATTTATTTATTTGACAGAGACACAGCGAGACAGGGAACACAAGCAGGGGGAGTGGGAGAGAGAGAAGCAGGCTTCCCGCAGAGCAGGGAGCCCGATGGGGGGCTCAATCCCAGGACCCCAGGATCATGACCCAAGCAGAAGGCAGATAGATGCCCAATGACTAAGCCACTCAGGCGCACCGTTATATATATTTTAAATGCATTTGTGTGTTTACATTTAAAGTGCTTCTCTTAAAAAAAACTACATAAAGTGCTTCTCTTATAGGAGCATAATGTTGGTTCTTCCTTTTTTATCCAAACTTTAAATAATAATATGTCTAGAAGGTACCCAAATACTTGGAAATTAAGCAACACACTTTTTTTTTTTAATATTTTATTTATTTATTTATTTGAGAGAGAAAGACCAAGATAGCAGAGAAAGAGCATGAGTGGGGAGGAGAAGGAGAAGCAGGCTCTCCGCTGAGCAGGGAGCCCGATGTGGGGCTTGATCCCAGGACCTGGGGATCATGACCTGAGCCAAAGGCAGATGCCCAACCACCTGAGCCATCCAGGCGCCCCAAGCAACACACTTCTAAATAACCTATAGGTCAAATCTACACGAGTTAGTAAGTCTTAAGGTAAATTGGAAAATATGTTGAACTAAACATCAATGAAATCTTTAAAATATCAAAATTTATGGGATGCACTGGAGCAATGTTTAAAGGAAAATTGATAGTTTTAAATGTTTCTATCAGAAAGGAAGAGAGATCTCAATGATCCAGTTTCAATCTTAAAAAGCTAGAAAAATACTAAATGGTATGCAAAGTAAGTAGATAGAAGGAAATAACAGAAACTAAAGGCAGAAGTCAAAGGTGATTCTTTGAAAAGATTAATAAAACAAATAAGCCTCTGGCAAGACTGATTTCAAACACTTGTGTTTCAGAAAACACAGATCTCTAACAATAGGAATAAAAGAGGGGACATTACCACAGACCCTACAGACACTGAAAAACTAATAAGGAGGTATTATGAAAAATTTTATTTCATTTATTAGATGGGATAAATGCCATCAAAACCACAATTTACCAATAATTACTTACAAAAACAGCACAAGAAA